CAGAAGTGTCCTTGTATGTACAGAAGTGTCGTCAAGTGTACCGTAAAGAGGTTGGCTTGTATGTCTACAAGTGTCGTCAAGTGTACCGTGAAGACGGCTGGCTTGTATGTCCAGAAGTGTCGTCAAGTGTACCGTAACGAGGTTGGCTTGTATGTCCAGAAACGTCGTCAAGTGTACCATAAAGACGGCCATCCTGCATGTCCAGAAGTGTCGTCAAGTGTACCGTGAAGACGACAGGTCTGTATGTCTAAAACCAGCTTCCACCATAGGTTTGTATCATGAACACTGTTACTAAACTCGTTACTTCCCTGGACCTGAAATATTGTTGCTGTTGTACGTTCGTAGAGCATGAACACGATACACAAGGATTTTTACGTTCATTTTATATATCTGAATGTTTAACACAATGACTCCACTATAATGGCTGTTGCCTTATCTGATAAAGAAAAACACATCAGAGAGTTGAGGTAGAGGGCGCTACTGTAGTTTTAACGGTAACAAATTAGACACCCTTTTCACACCGAGTTTGTATACTGTGTTTTAGACACAAGCTACGCCTACCTGTGCAATGATATCCTGCGCAGTGCTTGTGATGGGAGCTTTCAAAATGGCGTAGGGCTGTTCTGGAGACACATTGTAGACACAGACAAGAAACATCTCTTCCGTTTCTCCCCAGTCATGAAGTTCGTCTCCACTAAGTTCGGTTTCTTGCCTCTTCTGAAAAATAAATTATATTAAACAACATGATGTTTATAAATAGTTTGATAAACAATGAACGATTACGAGGTTCAAGTTTCTAATCAAATTAGGGGAAACGTTTACGTCTCTAAACTCCAGCGAAAAGGAAACTTTGAGACTGGTGGACAGAATTCACTGTTTACCTAACTTTTACACTTTGTTAACTCGTCGATATAGAACAGCAAGGGAAAAATCAAATGTTTACCCGTTCCTTTTTAGACGAGCTTCGTATCGTCGTTACCCAGGCCCTGGTGCTGGGGTCCTGCAAAGAAAACACCAGTTGTTCAAACGTAATAACGAGACTTAACAAACTACAATGATCAGTTTCGATCTTTGAAAGTCTCTTTAAAAAATTACACACATCTGACTAAAACAACAATTAAGTAGAGAATGACCAAACGTTTCTTGATTAGAAGTGTAATTATTAACGTTTCTTGGTTAGAAGTGTAATTATTAACGTTTCTTGATTACAGGTGTAATTATTAACGTTTCTTGATTAGAAATGTAATTATTAACGTTTCTTGGTTAGAGGTGTAATTATTAACGTTTCTTGATCAGAAGTGTAATTATTAACGTTTCTTGATTAGAAGTGTAATTATTAACGTTTCGTGATTAGAGGTGTAATTATTGACGTTTCTTGATTAGAAGTGTAATTATTAACGTTTCTTGATTAGAGGTGTAATTCCAAACGTTTCTTGATTAGAAGTGTAATTATTAACGTTTCTTGATCAGAAGTGTAATTATTAACGTTTCTTGGTTAGAAGTGTAATTATTAACGTTTCTTAGTTAGAGGTGTAATTATTAACGTTTCTTGGTTAGAAGTGTAATTATTAACGTTTCTTGGTTAGAAGTGTAATTATTAACGTTTCTTGATTAGAAGTGTAATTATTAACGTTTCTTGGTTAGAGGTGTAATTATTAACGTTTCTTGATCAGAAGTGTAATTATTAACGTTTCTTGGTTAGAAGTGTAATTATTAACGTTTCTTGATCAGAAGTGTAATTATTAACGTTTCTTGATTAGAACACACTAACTAACTAATTTCCTGAAATTCTTTATAAAAATATTTTAGTAAATTGAATAAAGTTTTGTTGACAACTTTTGTATAAAGTAGTTTATCTGAGAAGGGTATTCAAAATACATTATTTATAGAAGACAGTGGTAGTTTATCTGAGAAGGGTATTCAATAATGTATTACTGTCTTCTATAAAGTAGTTTATCTGAGAAGGGTATTCAATAATGTATTACTGTCTTCTATAAAGTAGTTTATCTGAGAAGGGTATTCAATAATATATTACTGTCTTCTATAAAGTAGTTTATCTGAGAAGGGTATTCAATAATGTATTACTGTCTTCTATAAAGTAGTTTATCTGAGAAGGGTATTCAATAATGTATTACTGTCTTCTATAAAGTAGTTTATCTGAGAAGGGTA